GTTAAGTTCTATATGTGTACCCATCGCATTTCTTGTTTTGTCAAACATAGCTCCCTCGTCTCTCAATCCTCTTGCTTCCTTCTTCGCGTGGTTTCATATTTCTAAGTTTAACCCATTTCAACCATAAAATTCCTCTAACTGGGTCTCACTTCGCCACCACCCAAATTGTTTTTATGTTTTTGCTCTCCTTTAGATGTTCTTCTAAAACAAGAATTTGGTTATCAGAAATTTATTTCGTGTTGTTGAGTAATTGTTCGTAACTTCAATTTTCAGGTATTTTTACTGAAATGTAGATTCTTTTTGGAAGTTATAACATTTGGAATGATTTAATCGATTGATACACAGAACTGTTGATTCGTTTGTTGATTCTTTTTTAAGAATTATGTGATTATTTGAATTTTTTTATGTTAAAACTCTTGGAGACTTTACAGTGCGCAACTTTTAAGTTCGTAATGTTGGTTGCATTCCTTTTTTCCCATTTCATTCACTTCCATAATACGATTCATGAGTAGAACATAGAAGAGACAGTACCTAAAATAGCGAGAATTTTAGAATCTAGGATTAGTGCTTTGTGAATTGCAACTATAGTGATTGTAAGCCCTTATGCATTGAATAGATATGTGAATTCCATTGTTGATGAGTTGTTGAGGGAAGATGAATCTATGTCCCAGTTTTGTCACTCTCCTTTCGGACAAAAGTCGATTCCTCGGCAATTCAACTTTGATCAAACAAGTAATTAACTAAGAATAATTTTGAAGGATTAGTAGTTGATATAGTTAAGCTGTATTTTATCTTTGTTGATGTTTAAAATAGAATAATTGAGTGAAGAATTGATGATTTTCGGGCTTAAAGTAAAATTTCTGGACAGAGGGAACCGATACCTATGAAGGAAGAATCGATTCCCCTTCTTGAACGAAAAATTTTCAGTATGTTCAGGGGGTATCAATTTCCCCTGGGGGGGAATCGATTCCCCCTAAAGGAAAAATGAAATTTGGTTCTATAATCTGACTTAAGTTGTTAACATCAAGGTTAAGGTTTAGGCTTCTGATAGTTGTTTTGAAATGTTATATTTATGTAGATATTGAGCCTAAACAAGTTCTGGAATAATCAAAGGATTAGAATTGATTCAAATCAAACAAGGCTAAGGTGAGTGCAATTTTAATTGTACTTATATTATTGAACGAACATTGGCTTGCGATGAGCCAATTATGGAGTTACTATGGTAAGAAGTGACTCTTAAAATGTTATTCGATATGTGATTCTTATATGTACATGAATACATGATATGCATAAACATAAGAGCATGAAACATAAGATATATGATATGATATACATGATTATATGCATATGTGATATATGTTATGAGATATGACCAATGTGAAATGAAATAAGCTATGTAAATATATGAAATGACATATGAATATGCAATATGTGATATGATATGAAATATATGGTTACACATACATGTGGTATGTGACAGAAGAGAAAGAACAAGTGATGAGAAATATATTCATAATAAATGCCCATAGTATATGATACGAGAGTTATAGGTATAGTTGGCATGCCAAGAGTCGAGGGTATTGTAGTCCTTCGGGACGTAGTCCTTCAGGACATATATAGCAGTCCTTCGGGACGAATACTGAACAAATGTTCGGTGCCCCATGAGGGAATTTATACGAGCTGTGGTGACAGCATTAGTGCACAACCTCAATGTACTCACATACTACTATTCTCAATAATATACATGGGCAACAACAACAGCAATTGAAATATAAATTAAAGTGAAAGTGATGCAAAAAGGTAGGTTTCATGTGTGCATGACTTGGTTATATATGTCATAGGAAATATATCCATGCATATTGAAATATCATGATCAACTGGTAAGAATGCATATTCATGAATCTACTGTTACATGTTTATTTATTGCCTCACTAAGTCTATGACTTAGCGTGTAAGTGATTTACACTTAGGTACCAATAAACGTGAAGAGCAAGAATAGAAGTGGCAAGGACAATATTATTACTAGAAGATCATATCAGAAATAATCGACAAAGTATGTATTTTGTTGTGTATAGAGTGTTGGCATGTAATAAGTCGTTAATTACGAGTACTCTGATTGAGTTTGTATTTTATGGTCATTTTTATGTAAATTAACTTATTTTGGTTTAAACAAAGTTTTAAATTTCTCTGTTTTTTCAAAAGAGTCAAAGTTTGAAAAGTCAATGTGACACCTCGAACTCATATTCGGGTCGGGTACGGGTTGGGTGTTACACCTATACTTTCTAAGGATAACAAACTTCCTTTCAACAATTGAGGTATAAATGAACACATGATTGTTTATTTCTTTAAATGGATCCAAAGTCCAATTATAAGTTGGTGAAGGTGAAATAATTTACTATTCATAAAAAGGAATAAATTAAATTAATACTTTAATTAAATATGGGTCGCTAAAAATAATGCGAAAAAATTATTTATGGTTATCAATTTTAACTTATAAGGGGTAAAGAAAGTATACCAAGAAATAGTAGAGAATGAATTAAAAGTCTCAGGGACTGCTAATAATAGAAGGAAGAAAAAATATTTAAAAATATTATTTTTATCTAATTATTTAAGTACGTATTCAAATAAATAAAGAATTTGGTGTATATATATTCAATAATTGAAAATATTTAACTAGTTACTAACAAATTTAATAAGATAAAATATAAAATTATTTAAACAAAGCTAAAAATTGAATATTGAATTATTCTTTTAATATATTAAATATTAATTATTAGTCGTCATCACTTTAAATGATATAATACATATACTATAAGTGACATAATACTAATCGATAATCATTACGTGTGACATGATATATACTATATTATTTTTACGAATTAAATCACATATATCATATTATTTTTATGAGAGACATGACATGTATCATATCAATAATTAAATATGTTTAACAAAAAAAATAGTTAAATATATGTGAAAATATCATGTCAACATGTATTCACAATGTGTTAAAAACCTATATGCCTTTATTTATTTATTTATTTTAATAAGAATAATTTTGTATTTGTGTCACGTTTATCTCTGTCTTTCGGTAGTTTTCAGTTTTTTGGTTTTTTCGTTTATCTTTTTTCTCAGGGTTAAATTTGACATTGCCACGACTGATCAAAATGTCGCTTATTTGTTACCAAGATGATATTTCTTGCTTTTGACCCTCAGATTGATTTGGATACGCGTTTTGCATTTGTGGATAGTTTTTTCACGTCGCTCGACTCTAATTTACGCTTTTCAGTGGTCTTTTAATAGTTTCATCTCTTTTTGTGGTTCTTTTATCGATGCAGACATATTTATTCTTATCTTTATTTTGTTTGAATTTTTTTATTTGGTTTTTTAACATTTTCCTTCTTTGATCCTTATGTGATCTAGGTGGCTAGTTTTTGCCTAGATGATAATAGACAAATGTCATAATTATATTTTAGGTTTACAATTATACTTGTAAATCTTCAATGTAATTTTGGATATTTTCTATTTTTATTAAAACTATTGAGTTTCTATAAAAAAAAATAACAATTCTCTTCTAATATGAAATATTTATATTAAAAAAATTAAAAAAAATGTTAAGAGATAAAATGTAAAAAAAAAGTCAAAATGACTATTTGTAATAACTTTGAGAGAGATAATTTTATTATTACAATTATTGAATCAGGTTGTTTTTTGAATTTTTTAAACACATATTTAAAATATAAATTAATATTAAAAAAGATTTAATTGCAACAGAATACAAGTCGAAATCTAAATTTGGAGCCAAATTCATATTTGCATTTCCTCCAATCTAAGGTAAAAAAAAAATCCGGGAAAAAGAATGTGCATGGGCTTCCAATTCATAAGAGTGACGCTCTACCACTGAGCGCGAGCTACAGTGGATTATCGTTCTCAGCTTCTCTTCGTATATGTCTTGGATAATCATTGGGAATAATGACCTTAGCCGATTCAAATGGACAGGAGGTGGCGAAGAGTCAAAATCGAGGATCAAAATCAAATCAATCCCGCCACGGATGACAACGAAACTCCACTTCTCAAACCTGTAAATAATCTCCCTTATTTGTATAAATTTCCTTATGTTTTCACGTTTGAATCAATTTGTTTGACATTAATGTAAATATAATTCCCGTTTATATTTCCCAAGTATATATGATCATTTGAAATTGATAAAATCAATCTGATTGCAGCTAATCTACATGCTCTAAAGCTGAGTTGCGAACTTGTTCGAATTTTCATTACAGGTCATTATTTTTTTATATACAAAATTAGTATTTGAGATTTCTACTAGATTTTTTTTAAATTTATTTATTTTTCTGACACAGAAACTGTGCAGCAGCAGCTACGATTGCTGAAGCTGGTGGTGATACTAGGATTGAAGCAATTCATTTAGAAAGAACTCTCCCTCAATTACTTCTTGATTTCTAAGGTACTTCAACTTACTAACTAATACTCCCATTCTCATCATATCAAATTGATGATACAGTTTTACCCCTCTTGAATTTTTGTGGTAATCTGGGTTGCTGTTCTAATTATCGTTGTTGTTTGGATTTGTATGTACATGGATGGTAGGTAATTTCTCGTGGTTCTGTTATTATATTATCAATTGTAAGTAGAGGGAATTGTCTGTACAGGGAATTCTTGTTGGGAAATAAAAAAGAAGTGCCAAATTTAGCATCATATTTTTTTCTTTCGCTAACTTATGCGTTCTTTCTATTCAATTTGCCTTGGTTACTTCTACTTTGAGAGTCGTGGTAAGAAATTCGATGCCCTTTGCTTTGGGTTTGCTTCAGGATTCCTAATTGTTCGTGGTTAACACATTAGAAGAATTGAATGAACGTGGATCTGTTAATACCGAATAAAGAACAACCTAGTTCAGGATTCCTGTCTCTGGACACAATATTTCTAGTGTTGATTAGCTTAAAACCAAACCAGGATATCATACCATTTACCATAGAAACGCATCCAAGAAGTAGCAGATCATATTTAAAATTCCAAAACGACAAGTAGAAATTAGTTTTTAGACATACTACATGTGCATATTATGATCTTACAAGAACCATGGCCTCATCGAGGCAAGCCAAGTACAGTGCACCACCTCCACTTCAAAATGGATGCTTTCAAAATTTTGAATTTGGTCCCTCCAAAATCTGTTAACCACAAACAAGTACTGGTAATACTACCACATACTGCATTCACAAGGTAATAGTATTCCATATTCATGGTGGACAAATACAAGTAAAAGTAACTTATGAAGGAAGCAATTTAGCCCGTGATGATACTCTTTCGAGGACCGACGGGTTCATAGAGGCAAGCGCTTCGCGCATATAAAGCCTAAGGCTAAGTATGGCTTCGCTTCGCGTATTGATTGCGATTAAACGACGGCGCACCTCATCGTCCTCAAACACAGCCTCCACTTGACGCCGACGGTTTCTCAGCTGGTCAGAAACCAAATCGGACATCCCGGATCTTTCAAGACCTTCAACTCGGTTCCTCCAAATTCTGTTCACCGCATCCAGGTACGGGCCATCAGGGTTCGTATCTCCGGCCAAGTACTTGGCGGAGCAATCCAGTGCGACGGCGCAGTAAGCTTCCTTGATGGAATCGGGGATCTGGAGCCTTTGTTTACGGTGGAGGCGGGCGACCGTCTCCAAATAGTCGAGTATGTTCTCGGTAATCTCGCCGGCTTGGATTTCAGTTTGGATGGAACGGAGATTGATCGCTTTCACCAAGCGAGGGCTGGGGGTAAATTGCGGGAAAGCATTGATAAGTTTCTTCACCAACAAATCGTCGGCTGAATTCAAGACAAGGAATTCGAGAACGGAACCGCAGATATCCGGCTCTAGTTTTCTATCCATTGAGGTTTGAAGTAAGAAACCCTAACTTTCGGCTGCCTCTTCACATCCACAAAATGTCAAAATCAATATCAATGCACACTTTCAACCTAGCCATTCTTTTTGAAATAAACTTACCCAAAATTAGATTAACATAAAATGATATAATGAAAAAGTATACAAATAAGATTCGAATATTCAGATTCTCCAGTATATTTTTGTTTATGTTTTTACTCTAATATACTTGAATTTTTATACATTTTATACTTTGTAACGAATTACAAATCAATAAATTTTATGTAAAATTGTTTGATATATTATGGAAATCTATATTACTTCTGAAAAAATTATTTTAAAAGTATTGCAAACTATACTTTTTAAAAGTATTCTTAAAAAATGCATTTAAAATTCAAGGTGAATTACGGTCAAAATCGAATTTTTAACTCAGCGTTTTTAGAAAACTTTTTATAGTGTGAAAAAATAATTTTCTATTAATAAGTGACAGGGCTGTAAACGAACCAAACGAACATGAATAGGGTTATGTTCATGTTCGTTCGTTTAACTTTAACTGAATAAATGAATGAAACGAACATAAACGAACAAAGAATTATTGTTCATGTTGTTCGTTAAGGAATGTAGTTTGTTCGTGTTCGTTCATTTAAATGATAAACGAACACAAATGAACAAATATAAACGAACGGATGTAAACGAACATAAATGAACACAATAAACGAACGTTAAAGAACACAAAAGAACGAACGTAAATGAACACAATAAATGAACTTAAACAAACATAAATGAAAATATATTTTTATTTACTAACAATTTTAGGATTTTATTTTATTTAATTGTTTTGAGCTTTTTTATTTGTATTTAAAATTAAATGAATTTTAAAATATTTATAGGTATCATATTAAAATTTATTGGGTTTTAATATTTTAAATGACTCGAGAGATATTAGGCTAAACATAAATAAACTTAAACAAACAAACAAACATAAATGAATGAACATAAACAAACATATTACCGAACGTTCACGAACGTAATGAACGAACGAGCCCTCTGTTCATGTTCATTCATTTAATTAAATGAACACAAATTTTTGTTCATGTTCGTTCGTTTAATAAATAAACGAATATAAATTAATTTACCGCCGAACAATTCACAAACGGTTCACTTAACGTTCGATTCATTTATAGTCCTAATCAGTGGCATGGAATCATGTCAAAATTAAGAATCCGTTACGGAAATCAAAAGATTTGGAGCATTTATATTCCGATGTTCATTTGCTTTAAACATTGAAACACAAATATATAATTAAGTTTTACAATTCATGGGTCGATACCCAAAATGAAAATATCAACTTCGTCATTGAGATTTTAAAGTTATGTTATCCCTTAAAATTTCTGGTTTAATCATTATATATAGAGGAGTAGAAACTTTCATTATCAAAAGTTGTGCATTTTAACAAACATTATCTTATATTCATCCAAAATTTATCAAAAAATAAATGGTTAATTGTGTAGGTATTGAAAAAATGTTTATCATGAGATTTAAATTTATTGTTGTTACTTATTTATTTTCTTTTATTGTGTTTGTTTTGAAATTTTATTTGTGTTCTAATAGAAAATTGCCATTAATATATGTACGTCCACCTTCAAATATTGATTAATTGTAATGTTAGATTTGTTGTTTGTTGTAGGCCTGTAAATGAACTGAACGTTCAGCGAACCGTGTGGCGGAAAGTTGTTTATGTTTGTTTATTTATTAAATGAACGAACATGAACAAGATTTTACGTTCGTTTAATTAAATGAACAAACACGAACAAATGGCTCGTTCGTTTATTTACGTTCGTAAACGTTTGATTATATGTTCGTTTAAGTTCATTCATTTATGTTCATTTATGTTCTAACAGAGGGCAAGTTGAATATGTTACGAAGATTATTGAAGTTGTTTGGATTTCAAGAAGATTGTTTTGTTGAACAAATTAACTTTAAGACTTTATTATGTTCATATAGCTTATTTAGTTATTTATATTTATGTATGTTTTTGTCGTATTCGAACAAATTAACTATAACGTTGCAGGTTATATTAATGAATTTTAAGTTGTTATTCTTGTTTTTTACTTTTTTACATTCATTTGTTGTGTTCGAATAAGTTTTTTTTTGTGTTGTTCGTTTATGTTCGTTTATTGTGTTCATTTATATTCGTTTATGTTCATTTATTATGTTCGTTTATGTTCGTTTGCTTGTGTTCGTTTACGTTCGTTTATCATTTAAATGAACGAACATGAACAAGCTATATTCCTTAATGAACGAACATGAACAAAAAAAATTTGTTCGTTTATGTTCGTGTTTGCTTATTTATTAAATGAACGAACATAAACATATCTCCTTTCGTGTGCGTTCGGTTCGTTTACAGGCCTAGTTTGTTGTACAAATTAACACATGAAATGCCGAGTTCCTTAGAATAGTAGTTTACTCGGATGGAAGCAATCTGAATCCAGTCTTGAATTGGAATTTCAAATAGCCTATCTCTGCCAAAACATCAAGAACAGATGCTAGGACAGCATTATTAGTTGCAACTAAGGAAAACAAATGCCTAAAAGATAGGAAATATGCGGAAGTAGAGATATGGACGAGACTGACTTTGTAGATATGATAATGGAAGAGGATGTTCATTTTCAATACCATTGTTAAGTTGGTGAAAATCCCTAATGTCCATATTTTCTAAATTTGATTTGATTACAATATGCATAGATTGACATGTTTTTTTATCTCGTCTTATGCCATTGATACTTCCATAATTTTCACTTTCCAAGAAAAACATCCATAATTTCTCATCCCCCATGGCTTCTCCTTACAACAAAATTCTCCTAATGGAAAACTGTTACTAGAAAGTGATCATTCAATATAGGTTTCAAGTTCGAGAAAGACTGGATGCTGGTTGTGACAGAAGAGTAGTATGAAAAGTGCGAGACTTAGAATCCGCAGTTCTTCTCCAACAATGAACAGACCAGGTTGCTTTTATTTCACCAGCGGCATAACCGTACACTGCCAGAAAGGCCAAAAGATGATCATCAAGGTGTTGGATACAACAGCTCCGCCGGATATCATGAAGAATATTGCTGTTGCAGGTACTTCTGTAAACCCATTGAAGGCCATGATATACATCAGCTTTTGGCTAGATCTTTAATGTAATTATATGTTTACATCTTCTGAATTTCCCACGTGTTAATGCAATTATTTAGGTTTATGCTTTTATGTTTTTACGTGCATTTGGATAAGAAATTGAAATGAAGTTCAAGAAAATTAAATATATATATATATATATATATATACACACACGACAAGGGATGATCGAAATACTAATCATTTTTTAGTTCTAGCAATCAAAATTCGATATTGTACCACATAGTGTTTCTTGTAATATTAGAAATAACAAAATCTAAATTATCACTGGATCAACATTTGTTAGCAAGGTAGATAGAATGGAAATGGACGAGCACTTGCTATTTGCATTAAGTTATAGCTAGCATTCAGGGATATCCACATGGCGGTGGCGTTATTTCTTGTACATAATATACGGAGATTAGAACTTCAGAAGCACTAATGGAAGAATTGCCTATGGTGAAACAAAAAGCCTAAACAGTTAGCTCTCTAAAGTTGGGTCAGATTCGGGTTGCTTGGGATCACAGCTCCACCATTCATTCTCACTCGTGCTTCAGCAAACATCCTCTGCTGCTCAGCTGCCGCTTCTTCTTCAGTTATCTCTGCTCCATTGCTCCTTTTGCCTCCTTTCAACGAGTCATGCTGTGCATTTCAAGAATATCATCAGTGAGTGAATCATGTAGCTATCGCAGAATGCCAAATCCAACAAGACAAATGATTACCATGGTCTCAATCTTGTGTTGCTCATATGCAGCATATACCTCCTCAAATATACTCTCCAAACCCAAGAAACTGACAAATCGCATGCATGCATAAAGTTTTAGTAACAATTACCTTTCTGAAATTCACAATAAATGCAAGGCAGTAAATTGTACAATTGTAATGGCCAATTTCAGATCACTGTTAGCAAAAGAAACCACTAGTACGAACCAATTCAACAGACAATTGCACAACTTTTGCTTAAAGCTACCTGATTTCACACGGTTGTAGGGGGAAATAAACATTCACAACATATTTAATAGGTATACCTATACCTCTATCTTTCAGATGGAGCAAGGGCCAGTCAAGGCATTGCTTAATATAAACACAACAATACCCTCGATTGCTGGAATTTTTATGGTATAAGCAACTTTATATCCCATCTGAAATTACTTGAGATCGGAAGCAGGCTAGATTGCCAACGAGCATGAAGATACTGCTGACCATACAGCAAAGGTTTTATTCAATCCACATTACCTTTTCCAATCCTAAAAACCAATACGGCATCAAGAAGAAAACAACAAAATCACACAGATAAAAAGAACAAAATTAAAATGTGAAAGGAGGTTTGTGAAATTAATTGACACCTCTAAGGCTTTCAGTACATCTCAGGTGCTATGGTTCTTTTCTCCTCTCTGTTACAAACCTCAATGGACTCTCATGAAATGTGATTAATAAACTCTACAAAAGGATTAAAGTTTTAATCAGTTCCAACAAACAAGAAACTAATACTACCAATTACATTATGGTTTGGGATATAGATGGTGCATAAATTTTCCAAACATGATTCTAACAAGAAAAAACATTTTCCCCACCTACACCGTCAGTGATGCAACAAATACTGTGAGCATAAACAGATGAGTCTAAACTGCCAAATTGCATCCACGGTAAGGTTAGGTCAAGTACTTGTGCTTACAAGAGATCGATAGTGAATTGTTCAACCTGTCGATTACTAAATGTACAGTTGTACAGAGGCTAGCTACTGAAAAGGTCTCTAGCCTGGCTTGAATAGCCACTGGGACAACCCGTAGTGAAAAATAAACAATAATCAGGAGAAGAACGATCCATTCATTCATTAGTAATCATCACTTGTCTTTAAGTAATAATAGTTACCGAATATATTGAAATTAACATGCGAAAGAACACCTCACCTCTATAATACCATAAGATGTCAGGCAAACAAATG